ATTGTGTGCATGATATCAAATGGTTAATTATGAATTGAGATTCAATTTATATGGATGTTCGATGCATTAGATATGCTTACTCAGCTTCAACGCTGAGCGTGTAGTATGTTTTATTTGCTACACGCAGGTAAACAGAAAGATTAATGTGATTCTGGCGGCAGATGGGGCGAGATTGTCAGGATGGATGTGACAAAGTTTTGAAATAATTTATGATATGTCAATATTAAATTCGCTTCTGCAATATTGTTAAATACTCCGTACTGTATATGTTATGAAAAATATATTATTGAGATTAATAGAGTGTGTTTGAAAAGTTTTAAAATTTACGATTACCAAGTTAAATACTTTAGTCCAAATGGAGCTGCAGACCTGGACGGATTAGGGTGTTACAAGTCTTGATACGTTATGACATCCGTATTATCATAAAGTGCGACTAGGGATATTCTAGACATAGCCTTCGTCAAGAAGTAACAGTCTCATAATCAGAACATCGTAGTCCTCATCTATGTTACTGAAGCGCTATTGTCTATGGACTGAAGCTATGTTATGTTACACGAGATATAAAACATACTTCAAGGCCTTTCATTCATGATAAAGTGTACAGTTACATAGGTATTTGATTGCCTCTAGGGCACCTAAATACAACACAAAGTGGGACTCAAAACGTTGGTAGAGATGAAGAGGTGGACGATGAGGATGAGGAAGAAGAAGAGGAAGAAGAAGCCGATGATGATGATTGTAACGCCCCGAAATTAGGCCTATCAGAATTAATTAATTGATAATTATTTAATTACTGAGAAGGACCCAAAAATAAGTGAATAATTAAGTTTGTCAATAATTAATGAAAATTATATTGTTGTGTAGAGTTTGACTGTCTGACCCCAACAGTTCAATCGGATTTCAATTTGGAGAAAGTTGGACCAAAAAGTGTTCCCTGACTAGGACTGAAATTAGTCCCAATCAGGGACTTGCGTTTAAAATCCTACACAATCGCCGTTCACTCCACTCGCCGCACAAACAGGAGTGAACCTTGGCATCTTCCTCTTCTTCCTTCCTACAAAACCACACCCAACTCCCTCTATTCTTCACCAAAACATCTTATTTTTTCCTCTATTCTGCTGCTCTGAGAAAGGAGAACACTCTGGTGCTATCAATTTGGTGAAAGGTCGCCGAAGTTGAGAGCTTTTGTTGCCGGAAGTTTCGCCGTCTTTTTGCCGGAATCATCATTTAACATTAGGGTAAGCCCGTAGATATATCTAATGACTAGAATGTTCATATAGGTCGTTTCTACGTTCATAGATGGTCATTTGGTTGAGTTTTGTGTTTGACATGCTTGAAAAACCAAGAATCATAAACCTTGAAATTGTTGTTAAAACTTTGAATTAATGGTATTTAAATGATCTATGAACATTGGGGAACATTTCTATGTAGTTTAATTAAAATTTTGTGACTTAAAATGATGTTTCGAAAATTGGAACCGAGGTTGAAGACGAAGTACTGTTGCTGTAAGGCAGAAACGGTCGACCGTACCGTCACCACGGTCGACCGTTACCAGACCAGTGGCTTCAGTACAACGGAGGCAATGACGGTCGACCGTCACTTGAAACGGTCGACCGTTCCAAACACAGTCAACTACGAAAAATGCTATTTTTGAGTTCTAAAATCCTATTTTTGATACAAATTGATTATGATCATTATAAAAATTATTTTTCACAATAAAAATGATGTTTTTAATAAATTAAAATCTTATGTGATGCATGACGGTAAGTTTGGGTGTTAACACTCGAGACTAGGCCGCTAATTGTTATTAAATGTTATGTTGAATGATCATTATGACGAACTACTATTGTGGTCAATTATGAATGATTAACCTACTGATTAGTATGATTATTGATTAAATCATGATTAAAAATGGATATAATGATGATTATGAAAATAATGTATATTGTTAAGGATATCTAGAAGAACTCTAAGATATACCCACATGTATAATGATGATGATTATTAAGGATATCTAGAAGAACTCTAAGATATACCTCCTACTGGTTAAGTATAAAGCCCCAATTTTGCATGCATGCCCTAGGTCTGGCCTATAGTGGGTGGGCTGTTTAGTAACAAGCCAACCATGCATTAGGTGATGACTCATAGGGTGGATTATCGATTCTTGTGTTCTGCATTAAACTATTTATAGTTTAAGGGCCTGGTTAGAAATGTTGCCTTAGACTAGGAATAGCTAAGAGTTGTTATAAAATGATTTGGCCTTAGATTAAGAATAATTTAAGAGCATTGTAGAGATATTGAATATCAAATGACTTGAAATAAAATACTGAGAATATCATGAATGTTTGAATCTTATATTGTGTGCATGATATCAAATGGTGGATTATGAATTTAGATTCAATTTATGTGGATGTTCGACGCTTTAGATATGCTTACTCAGCTTCACCGCTGAGCGTGTAGTGTGTTTTATTTGCTACAAAATAAATTATTATGTATGAAATATTATTTATAAATAAAAATGTTTGAAAAGTTTTAGATTATCACGATTACCAAATCAATACTTTAGTCCGAAAGGGGTTGCAGACCTGGACGGATTAGGGTGTTACAATGATGATGGCGATGGTGATGAAGAAGAAGAAGAAGAAGACATTGACGAAGAACAACATCTCAATGATCTTTCCTCGGATTTCTAGAGCTCTAGCTCTACTTTCTTCTCTTCCTTATTTTATCATCTTTTAATACGCTTTCGTTATGTACTCCGTTATTTCCCTTAATTAATTAATAAAAATCTTTATCATTTTTGTTGTTAACAATCTTTTTGTTAATGTCAAAAGGGGGAAGATAAGGGCTATGCATATATTAAGGGGGAATTTTTTATTAAGGGGGAATTTTTTTCAAAAAGATCAAAACCCTATGCATATCCCCGTCTTGTTTGGCATTATCAAAAAGGGGGAAATTGTTGGAACACACTTTGTACGATAAACTAAAGTCGTGTTCATTTCTGACAGGTTTTGATAATTGCCAAACAGCCGTGGATATAAAGAGTTTCGTTGAATAACTCAAGGCGTGAAGAATGGCTTGGAACAAGACCTAAAAGACTCAAGGACAAGATCAAGAATTGAAGACTTAGTCGAGTCGGTCTTTTGTGATCAAAACCGACAATAAATTCAAGTCTCGGTTCTCAAAAAGTCAAAACAATTTATAAAAATCATAAAATATTTTTTGTGCATCAAAACAAACTTTTTGATGATTTCTTTTATTGTTAAAATCCCTGGTCCTTGCTCAGAACCGAAACAACCTAAGTCGGCGTTCGGCTTTCGGCGTTCGGTTTTTGGCGCCCGAACCAACTCCGTGGTTTTCAATTTTTTAAACCCTGTTTTTACCTCTGAGCATTTTTAAAATGATCCCAAATAATTATTTTATAAAAACCACTTTTGTATCTTGGTCAATCGGTCTAACACGTGAAAAATGGTCAAAACCGTACGCACGTATTATACGACCTTGGAGACTTGGTTTTTACCAAACAAGTCTTGTTTTCACTATTTCATACCATATACAATATTTTCCAAACCTGGTTTTTACTTTTGGGAACACTTCGTTTTTGGACCTCGGTTTTTCAAAATGGGTTTCAGCTGGCTAGATTTTAGCTGGGTGATAATCGATTCTCACCTTTGTGACAATCGACTATCAGCCCTGCAGCTTTGAACTTCCAAAGTTCTGGAGCACGCAATAACCGATTATCAGCTACGCAATAATCGATTATCAGTCTTTGCAGCCAAAACCCAGAATCTTCTAAGAGGACCACTAATCGATTATCACTTGTTGACAATCGATTATCTGGGTTACCGTTGTCCTCCAACGGATAGAATTTTAAATTTTTGGACAGGGAATCTTTGGATAATCGATTATCAAGCTTTGATAATCGACTATCAGCCTGTGTCCCTGAAAAATTTGTCTTCATCCTGTTGGAAACTCTAGCAACGGGTTTATCCCATTTTGGGCTATAAAATGGCACCCAAATCCTCTCATTTTACACACAATTCTTCAACATTTCAATACTCCTTCATTGCATAAGCATTCCTATTTTTTCTTAGCTATTTGAGAGCCAATTCTTGAAGAAACTGTCGTGTTCTTGAGCGTTTACTAGTTCACTCATATCTACTCTTTGTGAGAGTTTTATTCCTGAGTGTTTAAGTGTTTTCATACACTTTAAGGGAGGTTGTTCCCTTGTTGTAAACTCGAAGGAAGTTCCTTGTTCCTTCGTGAGAAGTCTTGGAGTGCGGTATCTCCGAGCAAAGGTGTCGAGGCTCATGTGACTCGGGTTCTCAAGTTGTATCGGTTTGTTTAGCACCCTTAAGCTTAACGGAGTTAGTGTAGCTCGAGAGAGTCTCTCGGGGGGCTGGATTAGCCACACGTTGTGGTGAACCAGGATAAAATTCGGTGTGCTCCTTCCTTACGCTCTTTACTTTAACGCACTCGTTTTTAATTTCCTGCGATTTTATTTTAAACGCTATTCACCCCCCCTCTAGCGTTGGGCCTTTATTCTAACATTACTCTTCTCTTTACTAATCGTTTTCTCACTTTTTATTCCTGTGATTTTTTGATCAAACACTATTCACCCCCCCTCTAGCGTTGGTTTATTATTCTAACAATTGGTATCAGAGCCTAACTCGCGTCTAAACTTAACCGTTTGAGAGTAAAGCGATCATGGGTTCTTCTTCTAGAAATCTCTATGCAGGAATTGGAGAAGGTCAATCAACTTCTAGGCCACCACTCTTTGACGGCACCAACTATTCCTATTGGAAGGAACGGATAAGAATCTATATCCGTTCCACCAACTTCCAATTATGGTTGGTCATCAAAAATGGAGAGGAAATCCCGATGAAGAAAGTTGACGACAAGTTGATCCCCAAGATCGAAGATGAGTTTGATGCCGAGGACATCAAGAAGATTGAGAATTATGCAAAGGCCATCAATATGTTATATTGTGCGGTCAACCCCGATGACTACCGGAAAATCTCCTGCTGCACAACCGCTAAGGAGATGTGGGACAAGCTTGAAGTGACGTACGAAGGTACTGATAAAGTTCGTGAAGCAAAGATCGATTTTCTCACCCAAGAGTACGAAATGTTCCGAATGAGAGAAGGTGAGAAAATTGATGACATGTTCGACCGGTTCTCAAAGATCATCAACGACCTTCATGCTCTCAAAAACACTTACGCCAACAAGGATCTCGTGAGGAAAATCCTGCGGAGTCTCACATCCGAATGGAGGTCAAAAGTCAATGCAATCTACGAGTCCATCGGAGTCTCCAATGTCACCATCGACGGGCTAAGAGGTAACCTCAAAACTTATGAATCTACTATTCTAACACCGTCTTTGGATGAACAAAAGAATAAAGGAATAACGCTCAAAGCAACCAAGGAGACCGTAGAGGAGGTTTCAAGCGATGATGACAACGAATTTGGACTTGTCATCAAGAAGTTCCACAAGTTCATGAAGAAGGAATTTGAGCGGAAGGGAAGGAAGCACGACGGTCCTCCCAAGTGCTACGCCTGTGGCGAGATTGGCCACATCAAGCCAAGGTGTCCAAAAGTGAAACACGGCAAGGATAATCCCGGCTTCAAGAAGCAAAGGGCTTACATCTCTTGGGGTGGCGATTCCGGCGACGAATCAACCGACCAAGAGGAGGACGAAGCTGCAAATCTCTGCCTCATGGCGCACGAAGATCAAAACGACGACGTCCAAGAGGTATGTACCATTTCTTCCGACTCCTATACTTTTGAAGAAATGCAAGAAGCACTTCATGAACTTTATGAGGAATTTGTTAGCGCTTCTAAAACAAATAAATCTTTGAAGAAACGTCTTTCCTCACTTGAAAACGATTTTGAAAAATTGGAAAAAGAAAATGAAATANCAAGGATAAGCCCGGCTTCAAGAAGCAAAGGGCTTACATCTCTTGGGGTGGCGATTCCGGCGACGAATCAACCGACCAAGAGGAGGACGAAGCTGCAAATCTCTGCCTCATGGCGCACGAAGATCAAAACGACGACGTCCAAGAGGTATGTACCATTTCTTCCGACTCCTATACTTTTGAAGAAATGCAAGAAGCACTTCATGAACTTTATAAGGAATTTGTTAGCGCTTCTAAAACAAACAAATCTTTGAAGAAACGTCTTTCCTCACTTGAAAACGATTTTGAAAATTTGGAAAAAGAAAATGAAATACTTAAACAAGAAAACAATTTTTTTGGAAAAAGAAGCGCTGACAAACCAGAAAGCTCATCAAGTGAATGTGGGTCTTGTAAAACTTTAAAAGAGCAAGTCGCTAAACTTGAGAGCACGGTCAAGAAATTTAATACTCCTCACAAAGACTTAAATTTACTTCTTGACACTATGCATTTTTCTAAGGAAGGAATTGGTTTTGATAAAAATAAAGCTAAAGATAATGTTGAGCCACCACCTAGACAATCATCTAAGGTTCAACATAAGAAACCTAAAAATCAAGATAATAGAAAACCTAGTCAACCTAAGGACACTAGACAACCTAGACTAAAACCTAGGAATGAAAATGGTCATGGTAGACAACCTAAGAAAAATGATTTTGTGAATAAAAATGAATTTTCTCAAATTAGAAGAAATAATGCTAGAGCACCTAGAAAAGGCCAGTTTCAAAAAATAGGAACAAAATGGTTAAGCCTTCGAACTATTATGAACCTAGGCATATGTACAACCCCAATGTAGTTTGCCATTATTGTAATAAGATAGGCCATATTGCTCCCGTTTGCTACACTAGGCATAGGCACCTATCACAAAATCAAGCACACTACCATCACACACCTAACACCCGAGGACCCACCGTAAATTGGGTACCTAAAACTCATTGATGTGTTTCATAGGTGTGCTTGAAGGCATTAAGTGTACTTTGGTACCTTGATAGCGGATGCTCCAAGAACATGACCGGGGATGCATCCAAGTTTCTCCAAATCAAACCCGCTAAAGGAGGAAACGTAGTTTTTGGAGATAATAGCAAGGGAAAGATCATCGGCGTTGGTTCAGTAGGTAAATCTGTAAATTCCTCTATAGATAATGTCTTGCTTGTTAAAGGTCTTAAACACAATCTCTTGAGCATAATTTAATTATGTGACAAGGGAAACCGTGTGACCTTCGATTCAAAATCATGCACGGTAGAACGCCTTAGTGACAATAAGGTCATTCTACATGGTGATAGAATCGATAACATTTATATGGTTAACTTAGACAAATCTCCCTCCGGCTTTTCTAAGTGCCTCATGAGTAAAGAGGAAGACAATTGGTTATGGCACCGAAGGGTAGCTCATATGAACATGAACCTTTTGAACAAATTGGTTTCACAAGACTTAGTAATTGGCATTCCAAAACTTAAGTTTGAAAAAGACACCATATGTGATGCGTGTCAAAAGGGGAAGCAAGTTCGGGCCTCGTTTAAGTCTAAGAACGTTGTTTCAACGTCTAGACCGCTTCAACTTTTGCACATGGATCTCTTTGGTCCTTCTAGAACGAAAAGTTTTGGTGGCAACTACTTTGCGTTTGTGATTGTCGATGACTACTCTAGGTTTA